GATTATACTCATTGGAACTCAGAAGAATGAGGGGAGATCTTATAGAAACATATAAGATTATGAAGGGAATAGATAAGGTGGAGGCAGGGAGGTTGTTTCCGCTAGCAGGTGAAACTAGGACTAGAGGGCATCGCCTCAAAATAAAGGGAAGCAGATGTAAGACTGAGGTCAGGAGGAACTTCTTCACCCAAAGGGTTGTGAATCTGTGGAATTCCCTCCCCAGTGAAGTGGTTTGAAGCTACCTCGCTGAATGTTTTTAAGGCAAGGCTAGGTAAATTTTTGAACAGTAAAGGAATTAAGGGTTATGGTGAGTGGGCGGGTAAGTGGAGCTGAGTCTCAAAAAGATCAGCCATGATCTTTTTAAATGGCGGGGCAGGCTCGAGGGGCCAGATGGCCTGCTCCTGCTCCTAGTTCTTATGTTCTTACATTTGAACCACAAAGAGCAGGCTATGGCCGTCACCAGCCAAAGAGAATCTAATCGTTCAATGGCATTACTGTTGCTGAATTCCCGAATATCAACAACTGCATGTAAATACAAGAGTAGGTTGGACACTAGGAATTCTGTGTTGAGTAACTCCCAACTGTCTCCCTAAAGCCTAGCATCATTTACAAGGCACAAGTCAGAAGTGTTGTAGTAGTATCCAATTGCCTGGACGAGTGCAGCTCTAACAATACTCAACAAACTTGACACCATCCAGAATAAACAGCTTGCATGTTGGTGTCCCGTCCCCCACCTTCAACACTGACTCTCAGTGGCAGGGGTATGTACCATCTACAAGATGTATCTCAACAAGGCTTTGTCACTGGCACCTTCCAAACCTGTAACCTGTACATCTAGGGCGGCAAGGGTAGCAGATGTGTGGGAACACCACTACTTACAAGCCACGTAGTATCCCGATTTGGAGCTACATTGTTGTTCTTTTGCTGTGAAAATTCTGAAACTCACTAACAGCTATGGGTGTCCTTATATCTGCAGCACTGCTGCACTTCAAAAAGGCAGCTCACCACCACTTTCTCAAGGGCAATTAAGGGTGGACATGTAGCCAGCAACACCCTTCTCCTTTGCATGAATAAACAAAAACTAAATTTGGAATTTTCCAAATTTCATTGTGCTGAATAATTCAATTAGTAAAATCAGGATCCTTGTTGCTTTTGTAACTGCCATTTTAAATTTGATCTTCAAAGATTTGAGAACATAGACTTTTATCATATTCTTCCTATAGTCACTATAAATTACCTGATTTCTTTTTTATTGTCATTTCAGATTCTACCCAGCAAATGTATCATTACACAACACTACATTGATCTTTAATTTGTCTGCCCATTTCAGCAGAAACATACTCCTGAAGTTTGACCCTCTCCTTCTTGTTTACCATATTTTGGAGTTTCTACGTTTGAGTTTTGTATCATCAGTAAGCTGTTACTTTGTAGCTGGTTAACCATCTCTTACCTCAACAAATAAATCAATCAAATTAGTCTTAGAAATCGATGCTAACTTTCATGTAATAAGCCATATTTTTCCAAATTCCATTTACAGTTGTCTGAAAATTTTCCACCATTGATGTTGGTCTGACTGGTCTGTGGTTACCTTTTCAAATGGGTGTAATATATACAATCCTTCAGTCTTCTGGTACCATAGCCATTTTAAGTTAAGATTTGAAAGTTATGGCTAGAGCCTCTTATTTCCTTCTGTAACCTTAGGCACATATTTCCTAGTGACTTTTCTGATTTAACCACAGCCAGTCTATTAAATATCCTATTCTTACTTTCATCTTGTCAATATTGTTATTGACGACTCCTACTGCTGTAATGACAACATCCTCTTCTCCAGTGAAGACGGATACAAAGCATTCAGTTAGCACCTCAGTCATGCCCTTTCTTTCCACAAGAAAGTTGTCTTTTGCACCCTAATTTTCCCCACCCTTCCTTTAACTATTTACGTGTCTACAGAAAATTTTTGGATCCCTTTTATGTTAGCCTGTAATCCACTCTCGTACTCGCTGTCCGTACCCCCCTAACTACTGCATTTCTACATCTTGCCGTGCTCTCACTCAGTCATTTGTCCCACAATATCAAGGATTTGCTCTCAACTGTACTCCCGAAAGATGTTGTCACCCTTACCAGTCTGAGAGTGCTACATTCCCAAAGAATTCCTGTGGTTCTTTTGTTGCTGATGTGCTGGACACCTGGTCATCCACATACTGTCCTTGTCCATTTTCTATCAATGTAATCCTACAAAAGAGAATTGTATTTGACTGTGATTGCTTAATGCCTTGCAATTAATGGATTTACAGATATTTAGTCTTAAGGGCTATTTCATTATTATTTCTCAGTTTTTATTGTTTATTTACACATTTTAGTTATGTTTGTTATGTATCATTCACCACCAAAGTGTTGATGAAATTTATATTGCATCTTTTTCTAAAACAGAGTGTGATCTAAGTCATCATGATTTTTATGGGAAGGCAATGCCATGTGTAGTCTCTTACATCTTTATCTTCTGGAGAACACCTGATAATAAGAGTTCAGTGAAGTATCTGAAACCCCTCTACATGTTATGTTTAGGTTACTCAGCATTTTGCTTGTCCAAGCATACCTACATTTTTTCCAAAACACTAAGGTTCTAAACTGGCTGATGAATTTCTAAAAAAACATAACCTTGTGTGTGTATCATTTTCAGGGTGAACATAACAAAGAAAAAAATCTGTGTTCCCAAGTTGAATGGTAACACTAATAACCCACACCATGCTTATTGAACATGTATGTAAAATGCAAATAAAGTGGCAAACCTCCAAGACTGCAAGCGAATAACATGCTTTGGGCTAAGACAGCAATTGGAATGTATTCACTCAACATAGAGTTTGTGTTTAGTGTCATCTTTGGTTTACAGTATGGCCTTTATTGCTTATCTGTGTAACATTACTTGCATCAAAAACAAGCTAATCTCCTCTTTTAATGAAATGGAAAATCCTGGACACAGTTAAGTCAGGCAGCATTTGTGGAGAGGCAGACTGACATTTCAAGCTGATGATATTTTATCAGAATTCTCTGTAGCTGTGCCAATATATCTACATCAACATATGGCAAAGGTTTTGAATATGAAAAATGCAGTAGACCATTCACTGTTGCTGGCTGTTGCAATTGGTGACTAAATATGATACCAAGATTTCTGAAAAACTACCTAATTTTTAATGAAAAAGAAACTAGGCTTGTACAAATGAAAAATTACACAAATAACTTATGCATCATTCTATTTATCCTACAGTTAATCAGTAATTTGTACTGACTGCGGAAGTAGCTAAGGCTGTATAGAGGAAAAGTGGATGACTGGGAGTGTGCTTGCAACACACTTGAGGAGTCTAGAGAACATCACAAACAATGAGAGCAGGTAGCTTAGATTAGCCTAACCTAGCTGAGGTGCTAAGAGAGTAAAAATTTGTAAAGTATGTCTGAACTTTAATATTCATCTTTAAATAGTAATTTACTGATAGCTTACAGTGTGTTGTTCCTGTGCAGTAATCACTGTGAGGACATTTTGACTTGGAGGTGACTGTTGTGCTCACATGTCTAAGGAAGTGAAGGGCATCCTCATTAGGGAATAGACGATGGTTCCATCTGCAACTAATTTTTCTTCTAGCAGTCAAGGTTATGTGCTTCAATCTACTCTTCTTAATTCAAATTTTTGTTTTCCTAAAAATGTTACTGTAAATACATGGGAGGTGTTTTTCCACAATTTCAATTCAAATGGAACAACTTTTGCTATGAGAATAAACAGCAGTAACGGGTGTAGAATTCAGAAAAGCTTCCTCTCCAAGGAGCTAAATCCAGCTTCTGTCTATGTTCAGGTAAAGTGCCATGGGGCACAACAGCCTTCTCTTTAAGGGATAAATGTACATTTTTCTTCCTTTAGTTATTTGGAAAACTTAGAAAAGTGCTATTTGACTTTGCCAATTATCATAAAGTTAGCATATTATTGCATATAATTTGTATTTAGCAATGCACATATGTATTCTTTAAACTTACAATTATATTTTAGGACAATTTTAAGAAATGTTCTACTTTTTAATAGTTTGATTCATAGTTTTTCACTATGAATAAGTATAAAGCTGTTTCATTGTTAACCAATTCATTAGCCAATAGATACATATGGCTAATTTGCAATCCAAATATCTCATCGTATATCTCATTGGTAAGGAATGAATTACAGATACTTTTTTTGAGTGCGGGATCTAAATGCACATATTTGTGTAGTCCATGCTTTTCTATATCTTTGTTAGTCAAATGATGAAATGAAAAGCAGTGTGTTCATGCCCTCAAATGTTATACTTTTCCAGCTTGGTCACTGGTGGTTGACATTTGAAAAGTTGTTGTACGCACGTGAAGCACATTTGCCTGTGTAGAAATTAATTTAGCCTACATTTGTGCATGCAGTTAGAACAGTCTCACTGATCTACACCTGTGGGTAGTCAGTGATTTCTGTTGGACAACAATGAGTTAAAGGAATGTTTTGAATATTTTTAATGAAGTAATGGTGACACTGATTTTTGGAGGTGTAACAGCAGTATAACTTGCATGTATTTTGTGCCCTTTGTGATCTGTATACAGACTGATGACTTTCAGAAGAGTGCCCACATGTGACCAGCAGTCAAATACTTTCGTGACAGAGACTAAGACCTGGAAAACATTAACATGGGCAATCTACACAATATTAGCATGGTTTGGCAGACATTTAGAGTGTTCACTAACTGGAAGAGTTTTATGGGTGTTTGAATTATATTCCCTTAGATATAGACTGGTAATAGTCAAGAAACATGACAATGTAATTCAACAGCTGTGTTACTGCTTCACATGTTTCCACATAGGCTGGTTTTCAAAAGACTTGACTGCTTAAATTTAAATTCCACAGTCTGCAGTAAAATATATGCTTTCTTCATTTTCTGTGATTCTGTTCTACAATCTGGAGGTGAAAGCTGATACAGCTGGCTTTGTTTTTTGGGCAGGTCTGACAGTGATCCAAAGTCTGAAATAGGAGTGTCTGTTGTGCTGCTTAGCACTTTGGAGAGAGAGACCTTGGAAAAAACCAATGACATTGGTAAGAATTCAGTGTCTCATTCAGCTGCTGTTTCGAATCGCCTATAAATAGCTGCACTATAGTAACGCTGCATACTGTGTTATAACACACAGATGTATTGCTCTGGAAGAAGGACCCATTATACAGTACGTAGTTCTTTAACTGACCTCCTTCCACATGGAATGTATAAAGCATAATTACTAACTGTAATCAAAATTCACATTGGGAAGCTTTATTTTAAGGTGCTGCAAACATGCAAAACGAACTACAGTGAGGACCGGCTTGTGACAATTATTCTCTGCTGAAAAGCGAGTAGCTTAAGTTTGCATGTTGCTTATATTGCTATGGTCACTTGGACTTGAATTTATTTATATGTATGTATTTGCATGAGTGACAGAGAGAAAAAGAGATTTACTGACCACTGAATTATGTAACGTACCAACTGAAAATTCACATCTGAGAAAGGGTCAGTAACAGCAAGTGCAATTTACAATGTTCTGGATTATACTTGTAAGCACCGAGACTCTCTGAGAAGCTGCAGCCTCTTGGCGTTTCAAAAATATTTCACAGGTAATGGTGACTTCAGAGAACTCCTATAAAGTAGATTGTTCCACTTTTCGCTGTCAGCATGAGATTATTTATAAATCTTTTGGTTGCATTTGTAACGTGGTTTACATATTTTGTACAAACTTTTTTTTAATATTAAGGGTATAAGATTAGGACAAACTTTTTTAGCATTGCAATTTACAATTGACTATTTTCAATATGTCATTGCAAAACTTCACCAATACCACTGCTTTATGATATAAAGCAATATTTACAACTGGGTCAGTTAATACTACTTTTAAAATCTTAGCAATAAAACTTGGGTTTGTTTTTAAAATGTAAATCTGATGCTTTGTTGGATGAAACAGGTGTGAGGATGTATCAGTCGAGTCCAACAAAGTGCTTGCATATTTTATTAGCTTTCACTCAAAGTGGATGCTGTTTTAAATTGTGCTGGTCACACAGAAATCGCCACAATAATTTCAAAAAATTGTGAGAACTCTATAGTTCAGAATGTAACTTGCATGCACACTACTGAGAACTAAACCAAAAGCAAAGAGAAGGCCTTAGTAGTTCACATGAAAAATACTCGGGGGAAAAAATGTTACTTGTTCTCTACATGGAAGGTCCGATTTTATGCAAATAAGTCATGAGTGTATAAAACATATGATGTCAGTTATAGCAATAAAATATTCAGTGGATCGATAAAGGTTGACTGTGAACTGTCCCTTTAAGAACATACCTTGCTGCAATTTTCTGAGCTCTGTTACTTTTAAAAACATTTTTTGGTTAAATCTATACATTACTTTTTAGAATGCAGAATAGGATCATGGCACCTTGCAGCATAGGTGGAAGCTAATCAACCCATCATGCCTGATTCTTTGAAGGAAATATCCAATTATTATTATTCCCCAGGAACCTTCAAATTCACCATTGTCGAGTATTTATCTCTTGTGAAGATTATTATTAGTTCTTCTTCAGTCATCCTTTCAGACAGTGCATCACAGATCACAACAATTCAGTGTAAAATAACTTATCCTTATTTCCTCCTTGCTGTTCTGCCAATTATTTTAAATTTGTATCCCCCGGTTACTGGCTGTCCTTCCAGTGGCGATAGTTTCTATCCAAACAATTTAAATAATAAATTCATTCTTTTGAGCACTTCGATATTGAATCTTTCCTTAATTGTGCTGTAAAGAGAGCAATCAAAGCTTTTCTGTGCAACTAAATAGAAGGGGATGGGCGCCTACCTCCATTCACCAACATGATAATTTTATGATTTCAATGGGACATAATTGAATGAAATGAAGTCAATTTGGATGTGCATTTAGCCAGCTCCTGCATTGTTTAATGCTTAGCTTGCAGTTCTGAACCATGGAACCTGTTGCTTACTTGGTTACTAGAGTTATATTATGTGTCAAGGAAGAAAGAAAGTATATTATAATTTCCAAGACTTCTTTCCCATCTCCCTTTTATAAAGAAGAATCTCAATGCAGGGATGTCTAAACCATTGTATATCAATTTTTTTTCTTTTTTTAAAAGAAATATTTTTGAAACATGTAGGGCTTGAAGGTTAGACTGGTAACCAACTTCCTAACAACTTGAATATAGTTCACAAAATATTCTCTTAATACTACAGTTTTTCTTTTTTTAATTTTAACATCTAAATTCCTTGGCTGACGTCTTAAAAAAAAAGTCATCATCTTAGTGTATTTATACATAATTCGAGGAGATTGGTCATTGTTCCTTAAATGGGGTGAGAGTTGAGATACATGTCTTCAAATCTAACTGATGTTTTACTACCTTTGTTTTGTTAATACAGTTGGATAGTTTGAGGGCAACAGGCACATATCCACTTTGTTCTGTACATAGTTTTGAGTTAGAAAATTATTAAGTTTAAGAATGTAAGTATAACTTTTTGAGATGTTAGCAAAACAAATAAATGTGGAAACTGATTTCAATAACTTACCGTTCTGTTCTCATTATTTTCAGACATTCCTTTCTTGTGATGACTTTGTTTTCTATTCCCATCACTCCTTATAAAGCCTTTTAACTCTCACTTCTATTACCATGGGTAACTCCACTTCCATGCCCTTTGAGGGTAAGACTCACTTTCTCTTGACAGCCACTAGAGCTCTGAGTTATCTTTATTCCTCACTTTTCATTTATTGCACTTTGGTTATGCTCTAAGCAAAGTACAGATTTCAGGCAGATCTCAGTACACACAGTCAAATTAGGAAACTGTCTAAAATTTGCAATAGATTTATTTGCAATCGTAATAAATTAAGTTAAATTTTGAAAATGTTAAAATATTTTTAAAATAATTGTGTGAGCTTTGAAACATTTTGTGGAGCTTGGGAATATAAATTTTAATAAAGTTATGATCTACAAGTGCCATTTTCTTTTGACATAGGCTCTCTTGATCATCAAAATCAAATCACTTTTTTTCCTTATCTCATGAAGCAAAACTTGCATTTATGTAGTTCCGTTCACAACCTCAGGTTATTGGAAATCACTTCACAACCAACTGACATTTTGAAGTGTTATTACTGCCACAATATAGGAGGTGCAGCAGCTAATCTACACAGCAAAGTCTCTCAAACAGCACTGTTAAATTCCAAACGATCAGGTTTATTGATGTTGGTTGAAGGATAAATACCAGTCATCCCCCATTCTTCTTCCTTTATTCATTCGTGGGCTGAGGGCATCACTGGCTAGGCAGCATTTATTGCCCATCCCTGATTGCCCAGAGGACAGTTCAGAGTCAACCACATTGCTGTGAGTCTGAAGTCACATGTAGACCAGACCAGATAAGGATGGCAGTTTCCTTCCCTAAAGGACATTAGTGAACCAGATGGGTTTTTCCAACAATTGACAATGGATTCACGGTCATCATTAGATTCTTAATTCCAGATATTATTGAATTCAAATGGCAGGATTTCAGCCTGGGTCCCCAGAATGTTAGCTGGGTCTTCTTTGCATCATTAGTACTTCTATAGCCATCTGAGGGGGCTCAGGGTGCCAGAATGTAACCTCCCATTCAAAAGACATTACCTTTGAAGTTGTAACACTTGTTGTTAGGAATGCCATTCTAGATTTTGTGCTCAACCTTGAGTGTCTAGAGTGTGGTTTGAACACATAAATTAAATGAGAGCATTACCGCTAAACCAAGGCTGAAAATTGTTTATTTTATTATTATAAAGGGGGATTGCTACTAATCTGGAATGCTTTGCCCAATAACATTAAATTTACCAGATGAGCAGCTGTACCACACTTCCATACAGATCAGAAGGTTAAGAGTTCAGTCTTCTGTCTGTGCTGAGTTACTCGGCCTCGGCTGGAGCAGTGGGAAAACACCATAGTTACTTCCAGCACCTTTGGATTAGGCTTCAGAGAAAGGAATCGACTAATACTTCTTACCATTGTTTGCTGATAAGCGAGGCCCCCCCCCTGGTATTTGCAAGGACTCGGTTAAAGACATGGTATTTCCCGATGGTTCATTTGTTGATGATGAATGCCAAGGCTTTCTGATGAGTGATAGCTCCATGGGCAACAGCATCACAGGTATAGAACTCATGGTGCAACGTCTAAACGTGAGGCCAATTCCTTTGGAAGAAAGGAAAGTTGGTGAGTGAATAAATGGGAGGTCTGTAAGATATGTTTTTGTATTCTAAGAAAATGAGCAAAGCATAAATGTAATATTTAAGTGTTTCATTTTGTGTACGTGATCTGTTAGTAATTTGCTTATGGGCATAGTCTTGTTTGGGCTGAATCATCTCATTCTGCTTTACTTCAGCTTTTCTTGGCCTTCCTCTATCATATTGCTTGCTTGTTAGCGTATCCTTGTTTAATGTGGATCTTCTGACTTTTTTTCCCGTGTTTGCCATATTAGCTAAATTAGCAAAATACAGTTCATAATAAGATATGAACCAATTTAAAGGTTATTTGAGTGAAGTTATGTGCAAATAAACATAAATTTAAATCTTCCTCACTCTTGTCAGTCATACTCTCAATCAAATACTAGTCTTTGTTTCTGGAAAATACTGTATAGTCAAGTCATAATCGTTAGATATTACCTAGCATTTGTTGAATATACAAATAAAAGTAGTCATAGATGGCAAATTTAAAAGAAAACTATATTTGGAATGTCTATTTTCTGATGAACGTGTTTTCATTTCCAATACATGCCAGCAGACTTAAAGTGCAGAAATTTCAGTCTGTGAGATTTCCATTGAAAATACATTTGTTGAATCCTTGCTAAGTAATCTATAAGAGAAATAATTTATTTTACATTTTACTTATTGAGCCTTTCCAGTTATCGATGTCCTATAGACAAGTGTCATTGATTAAATTGTTTAACCAAAAAGCTGTTATTATCTTTGCAATGCTTTTAGTGTACTATTTATCAAAATAACAGAACAGTAGACTTTTGGGGAAAATGCATCTTTTAAAAGCTCACTGAAATTTCAATAGGAATCATAAATTTTACAACATAGCAGAACTCATTTTATCTGTTATATCT